TTATGCTTTTAATCCTTTTTTCTTTGAATTGTTGATCGATTTGATCGATCAATACCTACCTATTCCTAGAAGTGATCGCTCAATGGTTGTCTTCATAGCACCAGTTGATCGATCACTGACCTCACATACATACAGCCAACCAATAGCTACTCTTTATACATATACACCTACCGGTTCTCAAATACAGTATAAATACTGCTGTATTCATAATCTACTCTCTCTCTTACACTTTCACTTCAGTCACAGTCACTGTTACCCATACTGCCCAGTCAGTACATACCGGCCTTCAGTGCCATTCATACCACAACTCCATTACACACATTCATGTGGTCCGATAGTCCCACTATCCATACAGTTTAACCATTGTTTTAACTATCATTTTAATTGTGATCTATAATAAAGTATTATATCTGTAACTAAAGTGTGTCTAAGTTATTGTCTTCACCTAATCACCGGATCGATCACCATATCTACCATTCCTTCATCGCAAGCATTGGCTGATCGATCACACATCAAGACTACCACTTCACTGGCCTTCCAATAGTAATAGAAGTTATCAATAGTACTACGGATCGATCCCTGGCCTACACTCTGTTCACCACTACTGCAGATCTGTATATCACTTTGATTGACACATAAAGTGCCTCTCAAGTGATCATTATATCAGTTGATTAGTCTTTGACCGATCAATTTATACCGTAGTTGTTAGCGTTTAGTTGTTGGTCTCATACCGACCCACGCTAGACAACCGATCCCTTTCAACTACAACCACAACAAATTGGCGCACAGTATTATAATAATTTTAATTTAAAATATATATAATATATTCATGTGAAATAATTAATAAAAATAAAATAAAATTATTAAAAAATTTATTTATATTAGCAATTTTATTGTTGAAAATACAATACAATAATTAATTAGCATTATCTTCGCGTATAAATCGGGCGCCCATTTCTCCGACCAACATTGCCGCTGCATTTGGATTGGCATTGACTATCTCGGGATAGACGGACGAGTCGACTATACGCAACCCGCGTATACCTTTGACACGCAATCGCGGGTCGACTACAGTATCCCTATGGCTGGGATCACCCATACGACAGGTACCCATCGGATGAAACTGATTGGCAGCCCATTCCCTAATTAGACAATCAATATAACTGAGACACTGATAAACTGGTCGACCATCGGGACAGTACTGACACGGTGGCATCGGTACCCGCGGTAGCCGTACATACTGGCCAAAACTGGTCGTCTCGACAAACCGAAACGTTTCCACTACAGCCTCCCGTAGCCGCAGGCGATCGATTTCGGCCGTCAAAAATCGGGGATCAATTAGCGGTTGATCCTCAATTCGACTGGTATTCAGCCGAACCGTACCCGAACTCATTGCCCGAACCAATGTTGTTCGGACTTGAAAAAACTCGTTAGACTCCAGTTCCCCGATATAGTCGACAAACTGCTGATACAGTGGACTCTGAATATCCGATGGTTTGTAGGCCGAAACAGGCGGTTGTGTACCGTTTAGGGCTATTTCGGAAAATAGATAAACATCGGGATAGTCATCCCGATCGGGATTGTTACGTGTAGACAAATAAAACAATGTATACGGTGACTGTCCCAGATTATCTGTATCCAGGGTCAAACTTGACGGATTAATCAAACCTGGCTGATAGTTGTGTACGGGAAATTCGAGGACAACATTGACGTGATCCCTGTAATTGCTGCCAACACCGGGTAAGTCGACATATATACGGGTAATACCTTTATCGTTAAGATGATCGACTGGTCCGATACCCGACAACATTAGCAACTGTGGACTTAGTATAGGACCTGAAAATTAATTAATTTAATTTAATAATTGTATTATTAATATATATTATTACCGTTAAAATTGTGTAATTATTTCCCATATGGAAATTTTAAAGTCATTGGGAAATAATGCGAGTTTTTATATTTTTTTTGTTACTTTTGTATAATAATTTAGTGTTATTAATTATTATCAGGGAGGGTGGGGGTGGTGGTAAAAAATGTGAGTTTGTTATGTTATTTTTTATTTTATTTTTCATTTTTTTGTTGTTGAATTCCATATGAGAAATAAAACACGGATTTTACGGTAATATATTTGAATAATTTTTTGTTTGTTTGTTTGATTTGGTAATTATATATATATATATACAGTACTAACAAGTCATACAAATTACCTGCCGATACTATAATCTCACGTTTGGCCCATACATGATAAGTATGATTATACTTAATAAATGTGACACCATTGGCCCGGGGTATACCATTATTATTATCACCATCGTCATCATCATGATCAATTAGTATTTTAGATACCTGAGCACCGGTAACAATAGTCAACCGGGGACACAGACCACTTTTCAAATAGGCATTCAATGTCGACGATCGCAACCCCCTGGCAATAGTCGACTGGGCAACAGTAAACCCGGTCTGATTATGGCCATTAAAATCATTTGACTGGTGACCCCATTCCCGGGCAGCCTGGGCTTGTTTTTCGTACAACGGTATCTGTTTGATTGCTGTCGACACGCCTACCGGTCCCTGACGTCCGTGATATTCATCGCTAACCCGGGGGTCGGTATTATTTTCCATCAGTTTAAATACTGGCAAAACACTCGCATAATCCCAACCAATGGCACCGTATTTTGTGGATAGTGTGTCAAAAAATTTACGATTACCTCTAAAAATAAAGTAACAAAAAATAAAATTTAAATTTTTTAAATTAAAATAAATACATGTTTACTGTTATTATTAATATTATATAGTAATATATATATATATAAATAAATATTTTTGTTGTTATATTTGATGTATTAAATAATATACTAAAATAAAACTAAACTAAATATTTATAATATACAGTATATATAATTAAAAAAATAAATATTTATTATAATATAAAATACAACAACAACAATATAATAATAATTTACTTTAAAATTATTTTTTTTTAAATAATAATAATAATAAATGTATTTTATGTAAATATATATATATATAAAATACTAATATTTAGTAAATAATTGTTAAAAAAAACAAAACAAACAAAAAAATCTGAAATTTAAATACCTATTATATACCATACCGTTGACAGTAGAGCCACCACCTAATACATTGCTATGTATTTGATATTCGCCACCAAAATACGACTGTCCCGTATAGGGTTGTGGCTCAACCTGGAAAAAACGATAACTCTGGTAGTGTTGACCCAGAAAATACAGTCCCAATATGGGTGTATCGTCGTATAGGGCATCGGTACCTCCGCCAGCTTCCAGCAACAGTACATCCGAACCCCATTCGGATAGACGACACGAGACAATAGCACCGGCACTACCGGAGCCGACTACTATATAATCGTATGTAGGTTTAGGTGGCAATGGTGTCCTGTGGGCCAGTTGGTTGTGTTCAAGTTGTCTGTATCTTAATATATTGTAGACTAGAAATAATTTTGTTAATATAGTTAACGATAACATTATTTAAATATATATATATATATTATATATAATATACAGTATAATACTGTATATCTAGACTTTTTTTTTAGTTTTAAATTGTTTTGTTTTTTTTGTGTTAAACTATTTTCAATGACAACATATATACATAAATATAATATAATATAATATTTTACTGATAATATAAAAATACAATAATTGAAAATTATATTTAATAAAAAAACCAGTTAAGAATGCTAGAAAGCATTTTCAGAAAAAAAAACTTGAATAGCATTGAAAACCATTAGTTATAGCGGCTATATAATATATAAAAATTTAAAAACTGGTCAAATATACATTATATAAATATTGTCATGTAGAGTATCAATTGACTCGATTTGACAAAATAAACAACTATAGTCATGTAGGGTATCAATTGACTAGGTATAACAAAATAAATTCAACTTTTGTCGTGTAGGGTATCAAATGATTTAGTATAACAAAATAATCTTCTATAATTACACTTTTGCCGCTTATACTTATTCTTTATGTTCCCGTAGATATCAAAATTTTAATGCATATTTTTAATTTTTGTTTTTGATCCTTTATTCAAATCTATAATTAAAAAAATTCTAAATTTTTTTTATACTTTTGCCGCCATTTAAAAAAATATGCTGAAATATTATATCATATTTTTGATGCTCGTTACAATTCTAAACTTTAAAATTTTTACCTAATTTTTTTACGTTGGCCGCCATTTTCTTTATGATCCAGAAGATATATCAAAATTTTAATGCATATTTCTTATGCTTGTTTTTGATGCTTTATTCAAATCTATACTTTAAAAAAATTTCTTAAAATTTTTTTTACTTTGGCCGCCATTTTGTCTATGTTCCAGAAGAAATATCAAAATTTTAATTCAACTTTTCAATACATTATTAGTAGTCCTCTAACCGAATCTGAAGTCAGAATTTCAAAATTCGCAAAAAAAATTGCTACACACACACACACACAAAAGGCTCGTATAGATTTCAGAAAACAAAACTTTTCAAGTTTTTTTTGAATATTAAATATGTTATTTGCTATGTCATCAAAAAATAATATTAAAATGTTTACTGTATATATAAATTATATACTATTATATACAGTATATATTGAATTATTTTTTTTAAAATACAAAATTTCATTAAAAATATTTATTTATCTGGAAAGTTATGATATATATATTTGTTATCAAATTGGGGGTCAATTATTATGATAACCGGATGTATTTCCCAAAATTAGGCCAAACAAACAAATTATTCAAAAAAATAACAGAATAACAAATAAAAATTATTGTAATAAAATTAAATAAATAATTATATTTTAATAAATAAATAAAATAAAATATTATTATTTTTTTAAAGAAAAAAAAATCTTACAAATTTAAATAATTATTTATAAAAGTTTAGTAAATATTTATTAAATAACAATTTTAAAAATCTATTTATTTAATGTTAGTTTTTTAAAATTAATTTTTTACTCATAGTTTTATTTATTTATATAAAAAATAATATTTTAAATTTTAGGAAAAAATTGTTTACTATTAATAATTAAAATAAATATAAAATATAAGAATAATATTTTAAAAAATAGTTTAACAATAAAAAAATTATTTAATAATAATTTTTTAATAAATTTTTTTAACAATAAAAGTTATTTTAAAAATAATTCCAATAAAAGTGTTTAGTAATGAAAATCAATTTGTTTTTAAATTTTTCTTTTTTAAATAATGAAAGTCATTCAGAAATTTTTTTATTAATTATAATATATTTTTTATAATAGATTTTCTAAATTTTTTTAGTCCTGTTTTTCACTGGAATGTCCTGTAATTCCCGTGACTACATCTATACATACATTAGTACACATTACTGTTATTAACGATTATTATTTTTATTATTATTTTACAGGACAGGGATAGGACAACCCTATTGATAGGACAGTGTGTTTTGTAGAAAAAAAATATATAATATAAATAGAAAAAAAAAGTTTAGACTCTAGTTTCTAAAACATCAGATATCTAGTTATTAAACATTTATTTTTTCTAAAAAAAAGTTAATTATTTTATTATTATTACTTTATTAAGTTTGATTTGTTTCAGTACAGTAGTTAAAGTACACTATACACTGTATATAAGTTTTTTTAATTAATAAAATTTAATTAATAAAAACTATTTTTTAAATAAAACTTCAAAATAATAAAAATATTTTATAAAATTCAAAATAATTATGATTGTTATTTCAATAATTGCAATTATAGCTATAATTGTTTTAATCGGTAATAGTATATAATTATTTATTTAATTTTTTAACTAGTTAATTTTATTTTTTATTTTTTATTTTATTTAATATTGGATATTAATATTTAGTATGTAAAAATTATTTAAATAATGTCTATCATTGGAGTCGATTGGGCATAGATGGACCTAGACCATTACCATTTTTTGGCAATATTTTAGACCTATTAAAAGGAATATATGAAATACCTTGGTATAAAAAATATGGCAAATCTGGAATCTATGGGTAAAATATTATTTATATATATATATATAATTATATATAATATTTAAATATATAGTTCATACAGTATATAGTTGTGTGTGTGTGTGTGTATGTATGTTTGTGTATGTGTGTGTATGTATGTATGCATGTATGTTTGTGTATGTGTGTGTATGTATGTATGTTTGTGTATGTGTGTGTATGTATGCATGTTTGTGTATGTGTATGTGTATGTATGTATGTATGTATGTATGTTTGTGTATGTGTGTGTATGTATGCATGTTTGTGTATGTGTATGTGTATGTATGTATGTATGTATGTATGTGTATGTGTGTGTATGTATGTATGTTTGTGTATGTGTGTGTATGTATGTATGTATGTTTGTGTATGTGTGTGTATGTGTGTATGTATGTATGTTTGTGTATGTGTGTGTATGTATGTATGCATGTATGTTTGTGTATGTGTGTGTATGTATGTATGTTTGTGTATGTGTGTGTATGTATGCATGTTTGTGTATGTGTATGTGTATGTATGTATGTATGTATGTATGTTTGTGTATGTGTGTGTATGTATGCATGTTTGTGTATGTGTATGTGTATGTGTATGTGTATGTATGTATGTATGTATGTATGTGTATGTGTGTGTATGTATGTATGTTTGTGTATGTGTGTGTATGTATGTATGTATGTTTGTGTATGTGTGTGTATGTGTGTATGTATGTATGTTTGTGTATGTGTGTGTATGTATGTATGTTTGTGTATGTGTGTGTATGTATGTATGTTTGTGTATGTGTGTGTATGTATGTTTGTGTATGTGTGTGTATGTTTGTGTATGTGTGTGTATGTTTGTGTATGTGTGTGTATGTATGTATGTATGGATTTGTGTTTATGTATGTGTATGTATGAACTACTACTATAACTACTACTACTAACTAATTTTTTATACTATTTATATATATATATATTCATCAAATTTAATGTTGGGATGGTTGACCAGTATATTTGAATTCGACACACCGGTGCTTACTGTATGCGATTATCGATTAGCCAATCGTGTACTAATCAAACATTTCGATAGTTTTAATCGTATGGATTTGAAGTATCCTGATGAAATGATTAGGGTTGGCAGTTTTTTCAATCAAAATATTAAACGTTGGAAACAAGTCCGCAACAAATCGATGATATTGTTGACCACTAGCCGTATGCGCCGTATGTACGATCAGGTTATCGTTAGATGTTCGGCTAATTTGGTCAAACATTTTGCCGAAAACATTGGTTACAATGGCGGCCAACAGTTTGCCGTCAAAGCCGAAATGGCCAGATTTAATTTCGATATATTTTTGGGTACAGCATTTTCGTTGGACAGCCATATGGGCAATCAGTCAGATCCTGGACAGTATCGCCAGTACTGGTCAATGATGTCGGCCGGTGTCCGATTGGAAGCCGAAATAATATGGCGCGAAATGAATGTCCGAATGCCCTGGTATTGCCAATCAGTGGCCAACTGGTGGACGGGTAGCGATTTGGTTAAATCGCTGGCCGATGTTAAAGACCTGATTAGCCGCTATCTTGTCCAGAGACTAGAAAATCGGGAAACAATCGGCGATAAGTATAGCACCAATAAATCGGACGATATTGTCGATGTTTATCTAAAATCGATTGATCAAAATGGTAGATTATTATTTTTAAATTTATTTTTAATTAATTAATTAATTTGTTAATTTTAATTAACTATTTATATTATATATATAATTTTATTGAATATTTAGCGATAATTTTTTTTTAAAAAAAATTATTAATTCAATATTTTGACATTCAATTAATTATTATTTTAATACAATATTATAGTTAATTGTTAATCTAGATAATTATTATTATAGTTAATTATTATTATTCTAGTTAATTATTATTCTAGTTAATTATTATTCTAGTTAATTATTATTCTAGTTAATTATTATTCTAGTTAATTATTATTCTAATTAATTATTATTCTAGTTAATTATTATTCTAGTTAATTATTATTATCCTAGTTAATTATTATTCTAGTTAATTATTATTCTAGTTAATTATTATTCTAGTTAATTATTATTCTAGTTAATTATTATTCTAATTAATTATTATTCTAGTTAATTATTATTCTAGTTAATTATTATTATCCTAGTTAATTATTATTCTAGTTAATTATTATTCTAGTTAATTATTATTCTAGTTAATTATTATTCTAGTTAATTATTATTCTAGTTAATTATTACTATAGTTAAAATTTTAATATTTATTTATTTTATTTTTGTTTTTTTTTGTCTAAAACAGTTAGCCTATCGGATCCGATAAGCATCGAAATGATGTCCTACTATCTGGTCGTCCAGTTTCTCGGCCTATTCGGCAGTATTAACGACACGCTAAGCGAACTGGTCGTCCATTTGGCCGGTTATCCGGAGGTACAGAAAAAAATCTATAAAGAAATAGCCGAAGCATTAGATGATTATGAAAACAGTGAACAACTGGTGGACGACAACAATCCTAACACGGGTTGTTTGGATAGTAGTCTCGGGCGACTACATAAGCTATCGTACGATACCTTAATACACTTGCCATACATGGATGCGGCGATCAAAGAGTTTTTTCGTACAAACAGTTTTGTACGGCTGTCCCGTGTGTTTGTTGGCGGCGGCGGCGGTAATACTAGTGATACGGAAGCGGGAAAATGTATACCAGGTATCCAATTGCGGCCAAACGATCGTATAGATGTCCAAATATCGGCCATACATATGTCCGATGAACTATTTGACCAGCCGGCCGTCTATAATCCCGATCGTTTTCTAGATCCGGCTAATCAGGCAAAATGGTCCCAATTGGATGCCAATTCATTACTAAATTTTGGTCTCGGGCCACAAATGTGTGTCGGCTCGCGGCTGGCAATGCTAGTAATTAAGTCGTTGTTGGCGCACATGATCTATAACTATGAACTATGTTTGCCCCAATCGGGCGATCCGTATCGACCGAAACGACCAGAATTACCCGATATACCCAATAGATTCTATCATTTGAAATGTTGTATTAAATCCAGGAAATAAAGAGTAATTTTTTGGGGTGGGGGGGGCGGGGCGGGCGGGTGAGGTGTGGGTAGTGGTATTTTAGGATAATGTATAATTTTTAATTTTTTTTACTTAAGTTAGATAAATGTGTTAATAGATAATCAAGTTGTAGTAGTAGTGGTAGTAGTAGTGGTGGTAGTAGTAGTAGTGGTAGTAGTGGTAGTAGTAGTGGTAGTGGTAGTAGTAGTGGTAGTAGTAGTGGTAGTAGTAGTAGTAGTGTTGGTAGTAGTAGTAGTAGTGGTAGTAGTAGTGGTGGTAGTAGTAGTAGTGGTAGTAGTGGTAGTAGTGGTAGTAGTAGTGGTAGTAGTGGTAGTAGTGGTAGTAGTAGTGGTAGTGGTAGTAGTAGTGGTAGTAGTAGTAGTAGTAGTAGTAGTAGTAGTAGTAGTAGTAGTAGTAGTAGTAGTAGTAGTAGTAGTAGTAGTAGTAGTAGTAGTAGTAGTAGTAGTAGTAGTAGTTATTGTTGTAGTTATAGTAGTAGTATTTATAGTAGTAGTAGTTATAGTAGTAGTAGTTGTTGTTGTAGTAGTAGTAGTAGTTATATTAGCAATTAGTTATTAGTGAAGTTTTTATTTTATTTATTTGTTTGTTTGTTTAATCAGAATTTTAAAGTAAATTACATTTAGAAAAAAAAGTGAGAAAATATTTAATTGAATTTTTTTTAATGTAATTATAATATTTATATACATATATGTTACTAAAATAGACTTTACATCCAAATTAAAATTATATTATTTGTATTTTATTATATTATTAGAGGTTTATTTTAAGTATTATTATTTGTTAAATAATTTTAATTAGATAAAACAATTAAGTAATATTTTTTTAATTTTGTTAGAATGTATTAAAATACAAATAAAATATAAATATTATTTTTTTAAAATTAACTATTCTTATAATTTTTTTGTTTATTAATGGACTAAAAAATTTATTGTAATATATTATTACATTTTAAAATAAAATAAAAATAAAAAAATACTATAATCTAAAAGCTTATTTAACATAAATTAATAAAATCAATTAATTTAATATTTTACATTTTTAAAAATTAAAAACAATAAAATAATAGTTATGAAATTTTTATCAAATATTTTATGAATTTTTAAAATTTGATTTTGATAAACAAATATTTATATATACTGTATATGATTTTTTTTAATAAACATTTTTGAATTAATTAAATTACAATAAAAAAATTGTCTTTTAATTAATTTATCAATAAAATTATAATTAATTATTATGTTAACAATAACATAAAAATAAAAAATAGATATTAATTATTAATTAAATATAATAATAATAACATCAAATATATTTTTTCCTAATCAATCATTTTTATGATAATAAAATTTTAAAAATCAATAGTAAGATAATATTCGTAAAAATCAAATTAATTTTAATAAATACAAACAAAAATATTTGATATTAATTATAAAAATGATAGAAAATTTGATACGAAAAGTATAGCCAAAAATATTATAATTGATTTCCTTATAGATATAACCGATAAAAACATTAGTGTAAACAATACTATGTATACAATCGTAATAATGACAGTCAACTGGTTATAATTATCGACAATACCGGTGATAATGGTTTGTCTAGATTTGACTAAATATGGGGGGAAAAAATTTTCAAAAAAAATCAAACATTTAGTAAATTATTTAATTATAAAAAAATATAATAATTTACAAAGTTATCTTAATAATTATCAAAATTTTTGTATAAAAAAAAAATTAAAATTAAATATTAAAATAATTGAAATTATTGATAATTTATATTAATAAACATGTATATTAATTATACATAATTTAAATTATATAACTTTTATAATGACATCGATTATATAAAATTGAAAAGATTACTAAAATATTTTTTATTAAATCAATTAAGTTAATCTTGTACATTATTATAGTAAAAAATAGTAAAAATAGTAAAAAAAAATAATTACTAATATTTATCAAACTTTTATCAACAAACAAAAAAATAATCCTAAATAATACAGTTCAGTTATTTTCATTATTTTTGACAAAAATTTTATTTGTTTTAAAATATATTAATATTTTTTATTTAAAAATTATTTTTATTAATAAAAATAGTTATAAAATAATTCTTAATATTTTCTTTTTTTAAATAATGAAAGTCATTAAGAAATTTTAGTTTAAAAAATAATTAATACAATAATTGTTTTTTATTTATTTATTTATATTATGTATTTTATTAAATAAATTTAATTAAAATAAATTTTAATAAATAACTTTTCTAGCAGTTTTTATAAATTATTTTTATTTATTTATTTTTATTGTTTTAAAAAAACGAAAATAGATAGTATTTAATAATACAAAATTTAAATTTTTAAAAATTTAAAATAAATGGACCGTATATTGAAATTTTAAAAAATATAATTTAAATATAACTATTAGCTATAGCTTATAGGTTGCCATCCAATGATATTGAGATATAAAAATGATAATATAATGAGAAAAAAATTAAAACAAATAAAATATTTTTTTTTAAATGCATAAAATAGAAATTATATCAATATATATATCAATTAATACAGTAGTATAAAAAATTAGTTAAAATAATTATAGCTAAAAATATGATAATTGAATATATTGTATATATTGTACATCTATCATAAAAAAAATTATTATTAATTAAAAATTCAAATTAATCTTGTACATTATTTTATTTAAAAACAATTAGTTAATACTCATATTTATTAAATTATTATCAATATTTTTTAAAACTTTGTATTAAAATAACAAATTAATGTATAGTTTTATTATTATTATTTATTTGACTTTAAATGTATTTTGAATTAACAAATTTTTGAATATCAGTTAACAGTTATTTTTTTTAATTAAATCTTGATATTATATTAATTAATAATTTATATATAAAATATTAGATACAATAATTATAGCTAAAAATATGATAATTGATTTACTCAACGATATAACTGATAAAAACATTAGTGTAAACAATATTATATACATAACCATAGAAATGATAGTCAAATAATTGATTTTTTGGTCATAATTGTTGCCAATTGTGATTGCGATCCAATTGATGTCTAAATAAATTTTTAATAATTTAAAAAAATAATAATATTTAATTATTTATAAATATATATATATATATATATATATATATATATATATATACTGTATATATAGTATTGTAAATACAATACTGTAATACTAATGTAATATTAATGTAATATTAACACTAGCAATCAACCTGGCGTGCGTTTCGGGTAATTTTATAGTTAAATAGTAATAACTTTTTAATTATATGAATTACAGTGTAAATATTTTAGAAATACTTCATTAATTATATGTCGATAATGATAAACAAGTTAAATTTTAATATAAAATTATGGTCAATTGGTCATTTAGTGTCAAAGTTTGCACTCATACTAAACGGGACAACGATTATCTATTTGTAACTAAAAATATGCTAACATATTTAGTATACTTTAACTCATTGTCTCAGTAAAGTTGGTCTTCAATGCATTACACGCTCCTAAATGTTGGCTTAGTAAATGAGTTTGTCTACTATGTCATTACTAAGTCATTACTGAGTCATGCTCAGTAATTATTTATTGTTATAATAAAATTATATTTCACGTAGTAATTGAAATACATGGATTGTTGTATAAAAAATGTTAACATTTGTTATACAGCAATCCATGTACATGTTTAGACATTATTTTGTTTTTATAACTAATAAAAGCTAATCATAATGCAATGAGAGTTACAACAATGGAGTCCAATGATTTTGAAAATTATTTAACTATATTTACATGTATTGTTATTATACTTAATTTAATTTTCCCATTAATTGTCATTTATATTCAAAATAAAAGAATTGATAAGTTACGAAAGTATATTGTTTTGTTAAATCAGACACAAATAAAATTTGATGATTCAATGAAAATGTTTACTATTGACAATCCATTGTATAATACAGTAATTCAAATATAAATATATATATATATATCAGTAAAATGCAAAATTTTGTTGTTTTTTGTTTCATATATTTAATGTGTTATATGATTTTTATTTTTAGTTTCATTATTTGTTTTATGATATGTGAAATACAATACAATAAGTATAAACAAAATATTGATAATTGTTCACTAAAAGTGAATATATCATTGAGTGATATCGAAAATCCATATAATGAATACAATAGAGAAATTTTTTTGTTAGATTCAACAATAAAAAATCATTTATAATATAACGTGATTTATTTCAAACATAGTGTAAATGTATTGCAATACAACAAGAGTTAACTCTTTTTGTATTGCAATACATTTGTGAAATTTAACACGTGTTGTGTAAATTAGAGAAAATGAGTAAACGAAAACATATTTTGTCTGAAATACAATTAAATGCTTTAATTGAGTTTAATTTAAGTGATTGTGAATCAAGTGATGAAGAAGAAGACGTAATTATTGAAAGTGAACATAATACTGACACTGAAGATGACTTAATTGATTACGATTCTGATGAATACATTATAGACAATACAAGTGATATCAGCACAGTTACCTCAAAAGTTACAGCAAATAATATCATCCGATTTAAAACTGGACCAACAATATGTAAAGAATCAGTTAGTGATCTTGAAAAACTATTTACTAAATTTATTAGTGATTCAATAATAAATAAAATAGTTAATTATACAAACATTGAAATAAGTAGAAAACGCCAAAATTATAAAAAAGATGTGTCTTATATTTGTGAAACAACTGATGGAGAAATTAATGTATTAATAGGATTATTACTATTGTGTGGTGTGTTTCGATCTGCAAGTGAAAACATTTATGGACTTTGGGATACCGATGGAACTGGTCGTGAAATTTTTCGAGCTGTAATGCCATTGCCTCGATTTAAATTTTTGTTATCATGTATTCGATTTGATAATAAACTTGAAAGAGACAAAAATGATAAATTTTCAGCATTTAGAATGATATTTGAATCATTTGTTTCAAATTGTCGTAAAAATTATGTTTTATCTGAAAATGTAACAATAGATGAAATGTTGAGAGCATTCAGAGGTAATTGTCCGTTTCGTATGTATATGCCATCAAAGCCGGCAAAATATGGTATTAAAATATTTATTTTGGCTGACTCTAAGACAAGTTATATGTCCGAAGCTGAAGTTTATTTGGGTAAACAAATTAATTGTGAGAGAAACCAAAATGTTGGTCAAAATGTTGTTAAAAAATTAACAAAACACATACAACACTCAGGAAGAAATATAACAATGGATAATTGGTTTACCTCTTTTCCATTGGCTGACGATCTTTTGTCTCATGACTTGACAATTGTAGGAACTATTAGATCTAATAAAAAAGAAATACCAAAAGACTTAATATCACTTAAACATAGAGAAGTATTAATATATAATTTATGTTAACATAACTTATATATTAATACTTCTGATTTTTATAGGCAGATTCTATTGAATATCGCTATTTTGGTCAAAAAGTATTGTCATCATTTGTACCAAAAAAGAAAAAGAAAAAAAATGTATTATTATTGTCAACAATGCATACACCGCCTTTCAATGATGGGGGTGACAAACCAGAAATAATCGATTATTACAACAAAACTAAAGCAGGTGTCGATACTTTGGATCAACTATGTATAACGTATACTTGTGGAAGAGCTACTCGTCGCTGGCCTATGTGTCTGTTTTATTGTCTACTAGACATTGCAAGTATCAATTCACACATAATTTATAAACACTTTTATCCTAATGATTCAAAAAGTATTAATAGACGAGAATTTATTAAAAACTTAGGTTTATTGTTAGTTAGAGATCATATGATTAATCGACTAAAAATACCAAATTTGCCACGAGATTTGAGATTTTCTATTGAAAAAATAACGGGAATTAATAGTTACAAAATAACACCAGTTCACAACTCAAAAATAGCAAAAACAGGTTATAGCAATAACTTTAGATGTGATTTTTGTAAAAATAATACTAAAGCTTCCAAACGATGTGATGAATGCAACAAATTAATTTGCCGGGATAAACACACAGTTTATTATTGCACAGATTGCAAAAATGATAACTATTTAGTAAATGATTAATTTTATAAATAATAAAAATTAATAATATAATTTGTGTTAACACAACTTATATTATTAATGTTTATTTTGTTTTATTCTTATAAATAAACAAATCTTAACTATTATATAATTTGGAAATGTTTGTGTAATATTTATGTCACATACATAGACTGACCACCCAATTTATTAGTAAACCTGTATAATAGTATAAAATTATTATTTTCACCTGTATTTTCCTGTATATTAAATATTATATTCCTGTATGTTAACCTGTACTTAAATAAATATATATTCGTATATATTTATAATAATATAAAATAAATTTAATTTGGATACTATAATTATATAAAAAGTTGAAATTATTTTATATTGAACATGAACAATTTTACAAATATTTATAAATTTTTTATATTTAAAAAAAATATTTGAAATATTTAAACTGTAAATTAAAATTACAAGCAATTTTTTACTAACAATACTTAATTCATAGTTATTTTATACTTTTATTAATCAATTAGTTTTACATATTTTAAAACTTTATATATTATTATACAGGTAGGCCCTTTCTTGTCACCTGTATTAGACCCTTGATTCCTGTATAATACAGGCGGCACCTGTATGGGTGGTCAGTCTACACATACACTTTAATTTAATTTAAAATTAGTAATTAATAAATAAAATTTGTTTATAATGATGTGTAAGCGTGTAAGTATTGTTTCACGTGTTTTGAGCTAACTATTGATACACATTTTATTACGAAGAGATCTAACTAATTAATTAATAATTAATATATAAATTTATATAATAAGTTATATTTTGTTATTAAATATGTTATAAAACATTTGACATTATTATTAATTATTTCATTAATTCAATTAATTCATGCTATAATTAACAAATAATGTAATTTTTCTTTTATGCTATGAATAATTAATATATATATAAATTCAATTATTTTAATTATTATTAATTTAATCATAAAAAATATAGTGTCTTTTATTTAATTAATAAATATATATAATTATAATAAATAAATGTTTTTATTACTATTATATATTATATAAACTGTATAATAATTATCAATCTTTATTGAAAATAAAAACATTTTATTTTAATATTAAGTTTTAAAATTTTTTCAATCATTTTATAATATTTGTATTGTTGTTATTATTGTTTGTTTTGTTTATATGAAAGTCATTTATGAATATCTAAGACAACGTCGACAACACACTTGAATTACAACAACATCCGATAGCCAATACTAATAGATGGACGGACAACAACAGCAGCAGTCAAACATTTCGGTAGGATTGCCGACATCATCAGCCGAGGCCATCGATTATAAAATGATGACTACGACCAGTACGTTCATCATCGGTGCCGATTCATTGCATATTAATAAAGAGCTCGGCGTCGGCGAGTTTGGTGTCGTCCAACAGGGTATGTGTATTTGGTTACCACCCGATTGATTGATTGAGTAGCTATCCAATCGGTCTTATAGGTGTATGGTGTTCGCCAGAAAGCAAACGAATACAAGTGGCCATCAAATGCCTATCGAGTCAGCGATTCGATACATCCCGCCTGGAGTTCCTCAAAGAGGCCCGAATTATGCACAACATATCGCACGAACACATCGTTCGCCTGTACGGCGTCGTACTGGAACCGTCCCTAATGTTGGTCACTGAATTGGCACTGTTGCGGTCGCTACTCGAGTGTCTGAAAGACCCGTCACTCGTTTGCCAGTTCCCAGTGATAACATTGTGCAATTTTGCTGCACAAATTGCCGACGGTATGTCCTATCTGGAACATCAATGCCTGATTCATCGGGATTTGGCCGCAAGAAACATACTAATTTTCGGCACAAATATGGTATTTATTTAATTTAATATTTGCAATTAAATTAAAATAATTATTTATATTTTTTTATTAGATTAAAATATCAGACATTGGTCTCTCGGCAGCATTATGTGTTAATAATAATTATTATTATAATAATATGGCATGGATTGCAACAGAAGTATCTGTATTTTTTAAATTTACATCAATGTCCGATTGTTGGGCATACGGTGTCTGCCTGTGGGAAATGTTTTCGTACGGTTTTCAACCGTGGGCTGACCTAACCGGCCAGCAAATACTTGAGGCCATAGACGAACCCAGCTATCAGCGCCTCGAACAGCCCGAGTGCTGTCCGCGGAAATACTATGCACTGATGCTCAGGTGTTGGCAACATGAACCAACCGCAAGACCACGGTTTGCCGAAATTGTATCGATTTTACCCGATTGTCTACCCGTATTGGTTCAGGCGGTCAAGATTTGTGAGAGCAGTACCGGCGACGGCGGTGCAGCTACTGCTGGAGACTACAATACCACCGGTACTACTAGTAATTCAAACGTATCGACTAAAGTGCTATTAGACTATAAAATCGGTGATATTATTACGGTTTTAGATAAAAGTATTGCCACTAATAGTAATACAACGACAACGATGTTGTCCACAAATAATTATTTTCAAACAACCAATAGTTTAAATAATAATAATAACAATAATGATAGCACCGGTATTCTATGGAAAGGTATTATATTTTTTTTATTACAAGAGTTACCGTCAAAATAAACTACAGTATGTTTTGTTATTTGTTTGTATACTACAGGCGTCCTAAACAATGGTAAAACCGGTTATTTTAATCCAAGCGATAGTATCTCGTATTTGGGCCAAAATTTGCCCACAACTTCTATGCAAAGTCATAATATTATTAAAAGTTATTTAACAAATTATCAATACTGTTATAAAGCATTAAATGCTATAACAAATAATAATAATTTTAAATTAAACGAGAAAATAATTAAATGCAATTTAAAACATAAATTCAAAATTGAGTTAATTTATAACAATGAAAATAATATAAATCATAATTTTAATATTGAATCAGATTTTTATAATTATACTATATCTATTATTAATGGAAAAAATTATTGTGCTCAAAAATTATTATATAAAATATACAAATTAAATATATTTACTGATACGGTATGTATTTATATACTATTTTAATACATTAATTGATTTCTAACCGAATTGTCGTTCATTTTTTAATTATAATTTTTTTTAATTTTAGAAAATATCAGGAATGAAAAATGACGGATTCAATTGTGTACCGATATCTTGTATGCAAAGTATAATAAATTTAAGTACTTTTAATTTTATTTATTTTTGTGAAAAACTAACAGAAAACACTAATTTTAATAATATAAATATATTTAAATCTTATAATAAATTATGTCACGAATATAAAAAATTTTCTAATAGATTACATAATTGTAATAATTTAGAATTAAAAAATCATATAATTAATTCATTAAATAACAAAAATATAAATTATATAATAGATATTTTAAATATTAAATTAGATATTATATTTAATCAAGGTTATTGGGCGGATATATTTTTAAATAAATTTTTAAATATATTTTCTGATAATTTTAAAAATTATGAAAATTGTGTAAATCCTGTATCATATTTATTTTCATTAGATTTAAATGTATATGATTTTAATATTCAAAATAATATAGCTAATTATGTTATAAATATAAATGTTAATAATTTAAACAATTATTTTTTACAAGATATAATTAATTTAAATTTAAATCTATTTAATAATATATTATTACGTAAATATTTAATAATACATTTTGATTATGATAAAAAATTTAATTTTAAATATAATAATGCTATTATAATTAATGATAATATATATTATATTAATAGCATAATTTTATGTCAAGAATTATATAATAATCTCCATACTTTATGTATAATAAATAAAAATAATAATTTTTATATTTTTAATGATATTAATGTAAATATATGTGAAAATTATATATATTTAATTGAAAATTTTTCTTATGTTATTATTTTTGAAAAATAAATATATTGTATTAAATATTATTTTTTATTTTTATATTTATTTAAATAATATTCAACTCGTACACATTGTATTGCTAATCAAATTAATGACTTATAAAAATTTGAATTGAGGTACCGGTAAATGTGAAATAAATTTTATAGCAATTAAACAAAATAATGATTAATAATTAAAAGAAGTTTTCAAATATAATAAAGTGATTGTGTTGTGGAAGTGGTCGACTCAGACCAAAATGTTTGTCAAGAAATGTTAGCATTGCTTTGGTTGGTCTGTCGTATGCGAACTGTGCCGCCGGTGTCGACACCGACTTCATGACTAATGAGATCAAAAAATATCCCAAACCTTAATCAATGTCCAGACATGTGTAAGACATTAATAGATAAAATAAATGATTTAATCAATAAATACCTAAAATACAAAACAATTGTAAAATTATATTAAATTGCGCTTTACGGCTACAACAATGAGGTTGTTGTTCATCACTTAATTGGTCATCAAATGTCTTGTAAACAATGCCCGATGTATAGACAATTGTCGTATAAAACACATCAACCCATAAGTGCAGTCATAACACAGACATAACATATAAACAATACATTAAATATTGTGTAGACTCTATGTTGACTACTATTACATAATGATTGCAATATTTTTAAAATTACTAATATCGAAAAATAAAAAATTTCAATCAAATAAAAAATTATAAATATATTTTTTGATATAAAAATATCACGTCATTTACACGCATGACTACTTATCATGTCTTGAAATAGACAATGATTATCTTTATGTAATAATTTATAATTACTCCTGTAAAATATCTTTATTGCAATGTTATTTTTTCGGACACGTTAAAGCCTTTACGTAACACTTAATATCCTTCACTCTAAGTGTTAATATCTAATACTAATTGTCTGTCAAATTGATTTTCTGATCATAATTAATGCCAATTTAGTCAATAAAATTGATGTCTAAAATAATTATATATATATATATATACAGTACATATAATAATAATAATAATAATATTTTATATATACAATATATAGTATAAAAATTATAAGGAAATTTTATTTTAATTTTCATCTAAAAATGCAAAAAAAATGTTAACCCCACCCAAACTTTTTTTTATACAAATTTTCCCCTATTTATCCCACCCAATAACCCCACCCCCTCACCACCACCACCACCACAAACCTAAGATCGAAAATCTTGAGTATAAATGTATTAATACTACTATTCAATACTTAAAAATTAAATAATATAATTACAATTGTTATTATTATTATTATTATTTGTATTAGTATTGTCTTCATGTACGAATCGGGCGCCCATCTCTCCGGCCAACATTGCCGCAGCTCCGGGATTGGCATTCATTATCTCCGGATAGATGGATAAGTCGACAACACGTAGCCCTTGAATACCTTTGACACGCAATCTGGGATCGACTACAGTATCCGTACGCTGGGGATCACCCATACGACAAGTGCCCACTGAATGCCATATACTACCCGACCATTGTTCAATCAGACAGTCAATATAGCTAAGACATTGATAGACTGGACCACTACCTGGTGGACAGTACTGACAGGGAGCTATCGGTTCAGTGGGTATACTAACGTATTGGCCGAAACTGGTCGTCTCGACAAATCGGAAAATATCGACCACTGCCTGACGAAACCGTTGGCGATCGCTATCGATCGCCAAAAAATTGGGATCAATTAGCGGCTGATCTTCGATACGGCAGCTATTGTTCAGTCGGACGGTACCCGTGCTTAACGGCCGGACAAGCATCGGATAGAATAGCATCGAATAGGTAGAGTTGATACCCGGATGATATAGGCCTGAGTGCATAACCATACATTCAACATATAGATCGGGATAGTCATCCTCCTCAAGCAAACTGGTATTGCTATTAGCCGATGATGATGATGATGATGACCAATAGATACCAGTCCACGGATACTGTGCCAATAGACCACGGCCGTGGACAGTCGACTCGTACAGTTGTGTTAGATTGTCCAATTGATTTACTGGCCAAACCATATCCGTACGGCTGACGGGAAACTCCAGTATAATAGTTAAATGATTGTGAAAATTGTTGCCAACGGCTGGTATGTCTGAATAGATTTCAGAGATACCGTCGATGGACTTCAATTGATCGGCCGGTCCCACACCCGACACCATTAGCAACTGAGGACTGGCTATTTTACCTATCAATATATATATATATATATATATATTATCATCGCTTAAAATGTATTAATATTTAAATAAGTTATTTTTTATATAAAATTAAAATTATATTTTTAAATTATTAAATTATCGCTTGAAAATGTTGAAACTATTGAAATAATTATATATAAACATTGAATATATAAATTTATTATATATATATATATATATATATATATATATATATATATATATGTTTATATTATACAATTTAATTTAATTTTTATTTTAAGATCCATAAACAAAATTAAATATTTTAATAATTTTTTACTAATAATAATAATTAAATAGTTTAAAACTACAGTATATATATATATATACGGATATAAATAATGATATATTAATTAATTACCTGCCGATAAAATTACCTCCTTGTCCGCTAATACTCTATGTGTGCGCTTGTCTTTAATAAACTCGACTCCCTGTGCCCGAGGAAGAGTATGACCCTGACCAGTGCCTGTACGTTCAATAAGTATTTTGGATACCTGAGCCCGGGTAACAATTGTCAATTTTGGACACAAACCGCTAATCAAATATGAATTATAAGTCGATTGTTTGATTCCCCGATCAATAGTCGACTGCGGATATGTAAATCCGGTTTGTTTGGGACCGTTATAATCGGTATACTCCAGTCCCCATTCAAGGGCAGCCTCAGCCTGTTTCTCGAATATCGGATAGATTTCATCGAATGTCGACACAACTACCGGTCCCTGTCGTCCGTGATACTGATCGCTAACCCGGTGGTCGGTATTGTTTTCCATTTGTTTAAATACTGGCAAAACACTCGCGTAATCCCAACCAATGGCACCGTATTTTGAGGCAATCATATCATAGTATTTACGATTACCTCTAGAGTTGAGAGAAAGAGAAAGAAAGAGAGAGAGAGAGAGAGATAGAGAAAGAGTGAGTGAGTGAGTGAGTGAGTGAGTGAGTGAGTGAGTGAGTGAGTGAGTGAGTGAGTGAGTGAGTGAGTGAGTGAGAGAGAGAGAGAGAGAGTTAACACATTAAAAAAAATTAAAAATTATTATTTTTGTAAAAAAATTTTAAACATTTAAAACTAAATAGTAATTACATATATAATGTATATTTTTTTAAAAAATTAAATAATCTAAATATCTAAATATATTTATATAAGTTATTTATTTAATTTAATTTAAT